GTTACAACTAATCTGTAAATATGTTACAACTAATCTGTCAATACGTTACAACTAATCTGTCAATACGTTACAACTAATCTGTCAATACGTTACAACTAATCTGTCAATACTCTGTAAATACGTTACAACTAATCTGTAAATACATTACAACTAATCTGTAAATGCGTTACAACTAATCTGTAAATGCGTTACAACTAATCTGTAAATACGTTACAACTAATCTGTCAGTACGTTACAACTAATCTGTAAATACGTTACAACTAATCTGTAAATACATTACAACTAATCTGTAAATACGTTACAACTAATCTGTAAATGCGTTACAACTAATCTGTCAATACGTTACAACTAATCTGTAAATACGTTACAACAAATCTGTAAATACGTTACAACTAATCTGTCAATACGTTACAACTAATCTGTCAATACGTTACAACTAATCTGTCAATACGTTACAACGTATTGTAGTTGAAGTAGATATATGTAAATAGTGTGTTGAATTTTTTTTACTTGATTTAGAGTGAATATGATCTAAGTGAGTCAAATATAATTTGTCATTATGTTATATAATATATATGGTGACAAATAAAATGGTAAATGGACTGAACTTATAGAGTGTTTTATCAAGTCCCTCTGGACCTCAAAGCTCTTTACACTTACAACCATTCACACTCACATTTACACACTGATGAAAATAAATGTTTGGATATTTTTTCAAAAGAACAAACATTCAATAACAAGTCTTTTCAAGCAGATAATAAAAAATAAATAACTTTTTGATGTAAAAACTTCAGATTTGTTCACATTTATTAACAGAACCATCATGGTCTGTCCTGTGCAGAATGACAAAAAACTAAATTATTTCTTTACTAAAACCTCTGTAACTTTGCTCCAGTTAATTTAATAGCATGAATCTTTGTACAGGTGATGTTCACAGGTGGATTTATGGTTTCTAAGAGTTTTTAGCCTGATTCATTATGGTTTTAAATGGGTTATATACTGTTTAATMAAAACATTATTCAGACGGTAGGGAAAATATGTTCCATCCTCAATATCTCTAAAACCACAGCAGCTGTTTTAATACTMACACTTCTGATGAAATCTCCCAAGTGTTAGCTTTATTTTGATAACAAGATTAATAAAGTAGAGTTTGTAAATGCTGAGACTTCAAGAAAAGCCCTTGGGTCTTAAAAGGTTAATTCTGAGGGATCACAGCGAGTCATAAACTTGTTTCTGTGTTTCCAAGCAGCTGCCAGAAACAGAACATCTTCATCGTCGTCGTCTGGCCTGAAGTATAAAAACAGGACTCAAAGCAGACAGACTTTGTCCAGAGCCCTTCCTACCTCATGTTCCAAAGCAGGCCGTGTGAACAGTAACAGGGTACCAAAGAGACTAAAGTCCAAGCCTTTACTCAGTAAAGTCCGGCTGCGGAGCCGCAGGAGAGGGGCGGAGCCCAGAGCGTCGGCCAAACCTGAGGCGGGCCAGCTGGCTCTCAGGGATTCCAAGGCGGCGCTGTGCAAAGGCGTCTCCATCAAGAAGGAGAAGGACGGACAGGAAGTGGCGCCGCTGGGCCAGCGGGGCTGCGTCACTCGGCACGCCGCCAAGGAAAACGGCAACCACGCCGTTCAGAGCGGCGAGGGCAGCCACGCCTCCGCCTACAGAACTCGCAGGTCCACCCGGACGTTCGGCGTCGGCCAGGAGCCGGCAGCCGGCGTGAAGCTGGAGCCCAACGCCATGGACGGCCTGAGCTCGCTTCCTGGAGGGGTGGTCATCAAAACGGAGCCGGCGGACCTGGACCAGTACCTGCAGCCAGTCCTGGACTCCAGCTACGCCAGAAGGAGCACGCGCGCCGGCCAGAAGCGGCCGACGCAGCCGCGGGCGGAGCGGGCCATCAAATGCGAAGGCTCAAACTGCGAGCCCTTCACGCCGGCTGCAGGCCACGCCCCCGGTTTCTCCGACTGCGGGAGCGTGCTGCTGAACTTCGCTGACAGACACCGGGACTTCAACGGCGTGGCCAACGGCAGCAAGGCCCTGTGCAGGGACAAGAGCAAGAGCAGCTGCCGCTCGCAGGACAAGGTCAAGAAGAAGCGGCGCATCACGCGCTACGACGCCCAGCTGATCCTGGAGAACAACACGGGCATCCCCAAACTGACGCTCCGCCGGCGGAGGGACAGCAGCAGCAGCAAGACCAACGACGCCAACGACCACGTGGCCTCCTCCACCCTGGGCCCGGCCTCCTCCAGCAAGATCAGCATCAAGTTCAGCAAGGACCACGACAAGGACAAGGGCTCCTACGTGGCCAAGCTCAACAACGGCTTCGCGCCCGGCGTCCACAGCAGCGCCACCAAGCTGAAGATCCAGCTGAAGAGGGAGGACGACGCCCGCAGGACGGCCCAGGCCAAGGTGGACCACATGTCCTACAACGGAGGAGTGGCTCCGGGGCTGGAGAGCAGGAACGGTGCGCATCGGACCCAGAAGGTCCTGGCAGAACCTTCGTCCGACGAGGATGACGACGAGGACGAGGAGGAAGGAGAGGACGACGACGATGACTACTTCCACAACGAGTTTGAGGACGACTTCATTCCACTTCCTCCGGCGAAGCGGCTGCGCCTCATCGTGGGTAAAGATTCCATAGACATCGATATCTCCTCCAGGAGGAGAGAGGATCAGTCTCTGAGGCTCAACGCCTGAGCCTTTGTGTAAATAAAGAGCCGCCAATCAACCCCGTGTTGATGTAAAGGAAGTAATTTAAAACAAAAATGCTAAGAATCAAGAATCTGAGTGAGGTGCTCTTAACCTAAAACAAACCTGGTGCTCTCTTCAACGTGATTTGTTTTTTTGGGTTCTGCTCCTGAAAAAATGCTGACGAACTCGGTTCTTTTCTCAGAAATCTGAGTTGAAAGTGAAAACTGAGGGTTTGTTTTAGGTTGAACCATCAAAGTGAATGCACTTGTTATATTTCATCATGGACGTGTAGAAAGTGTACAGTTTGGTGATTTTCCCGTCTGTCTCATCCGCAGGGTTTTATTGAATCTTTGTTTTCTTTTTGTTCTTTCGTCTCGTAGCGTGTAAGCTTTGTGTGGAGTGGTTGATCCAGAGGCATTAGAGCATCAGTTTGTCCTTCTGGTGCCATGTTCTCATAGCAGATTGAGTTTTATTTTTTTATTTTTATTTGGATTAGCAGTTGAGGTAAATTAAGTCTCAMCTGTAGTTTAAATCATGACTTTATTCATACGAGGGTTCTTCCATCATGTAAGATATTTACTGGTAAGAAACAGCAGATTCAGCTGTAATTCAGCAC